TATGTGCACATACTCACATATCTGTGTGAATGCATGCATTTGTGAATATATGTGAATATATATAATCAGACTTTTCTCCCAACCTGCAACTTAACTTTTCATTTTCCTAATAAAATGTTTTAAGAGAACAGAAGTCTTTACTTATTTATGTTTCCTTATGGTTAATTCCTTGTGCATTCTATTTAAGAAAGTCTTTTTGGCTCTAAGAAAAATATTTAAAAATACCATGAAGATGTTTTCCTGTTTATTTAAAACTGACTTATGTATGGTGTAAGGTAGGGATCAGGCTTAACTTTTTAAACCATATGTTGTGCAGCAATTTCTTCCAAATTGAATAATTTATTTTTATTTTTGAAGATTTATTTTCTTCTTAATTATGTATATGAATATGTGGATATGTGCATGTGTGACCATGTGTTGGAAGAGGCCAGAAGGGGCACTGGATCCCTTGGAGCTGTAGTTACAGGCAGTTGGCAGGTGCCTGATGTGGGTTCTGGGAACTGAACTCAGGTCCATTGTAAAAGCAGTATGCATTCTCAACCACTGAGCCATATTTCCAGTCCCACTTTCCTCCAAATTGAAATATTCTACTCTGGAGGAAACTCAAATCCCTGTAAGTTCTGAAAGAAGACTTCTTAAGATTCTACCAGTAAACAACTCCCAAGTCTCAAGAAGTCCCTGAAACTTACCAGGTTCACAAGGCCTCTCTCTCCTCAAGGCTATATACTACCCAAGAGAGGGGACTCTGACCTCCTGAGCTGCCTGCAAGTTGTACAGAGAGCTCCAGGATTCTTGCTTTCTTGAGTCATCACCCACGCTGGGGTGAGCTATGGTGATGCCACTGCCTTTGGGGTGTCTGAGCTCTTGTAAGTAACCCCTTCCCATGCTCCTGTAAGTGACTCCATAAACTCACTGGTTCACTGAGTTGGATTTGGTGGTATTGTTATTTTGGTCTGTCATTGGTTCCCTATCTGCAATGAGTAGTAGGGATGAGTATCATGTTTCCCCAGGGGGAAAAATTCTCATACAATATTATTTTATTCAGTCAATCCAGAACTATTTATTGAACAGACCATACTGAATTCTCTGCTGTTAACCACAGGACTGTGTATGTGTTCATGTATTTCTGGAGCATACCTGAGAAGCAGTTAATAGTTAAACTTATTCTCTATTGGTATTTGAATTCTTTCTCAAGTAGCACTTATTACAATCTCTATTGTCAAGGCATCATTTCATCTGAATCACTTCATTTTAAAAGTCATCAACCCCTGTAATACAGATACTCATATCATCCCATTTTATAGGTAAGGAAATTAAGACTTAGAGAGTGAGACAATTTGCCAGAGTTGCCTAGCTTGTGAGTGGCCGGAACATGCCTCCAGGGAAATTCTCGTGGACTCTGAAGTCAGAGAAGCTTTTGATAAGGAAAGATAGTGATGATATTATGTTCACAGGAGAGAGATGGAGAGGAGAAGGGCTCTACAAGGAGACAGGCTGCAGAGATGGTTCAGTGCTCTTGCAATGCTCCTGGCTTTGGTTCCCAGTTCCCACTTGGCAGATCACTACTGTCTGTAGCTTCAGTTCCAAGTGTGCTGCCCTCTTCTGGCTTCTCTGAGCACTGTATGCATGTGATGTACAAGCTTTCATGGAGGCAAAACAATCATATGTATAAAATAAAAATGAGTTAAAAATCTTTAGAAAAGAATAAAGAGGTAGAAAATGTCTAAACCAAAGTATGAAAATATCAAACTTTTCCACAGAAGAGGTAGTTTAATACTTTTGTGTGCTTTGCTAAACTTTCAAATCTCCCCCAAGCAAATTTATTATTTTTGACAAGGAAGTATTTTTTTCTTTTTTTAAGTAACCCTCTTGGGTTTCATAGGATGCTTAAAATACTTCAATCTTTGCAGCTTTAGATACACCTTTTGTTTCTCTATCCCTCACCTGTATACTCAATTGGCCACAACTTCTAATTATTAAATTAGAAATCCTTCAACTATTAAATTATTTCTTAGTTTCCAACACTGCTGATGAACTGTCCTGATGAACTCCCCACTGACCCTCCTGCCTCTGTTCATTCCTGTCTTTCTGCATTCTGTTAAAGAGATGATGCATTATTAAAACACTACATATAACATCTCCTTTACAAAACAACAGCCAACACTTATTAAACCTTACTATGAGCCAGGAATAACACCGAACCCTTTAAATACAACATCTAAGCTGATTTTCATATCCCTGCCCAGCCAAAATACCACCCTGTATTTTATATCTCTCCTTTAGCACTAACCAAATGCCAAAGCCTAGCATTCATGAACATTTTAAATCTGCCCTCAAGTTCTCTCAGTGGCCTTTCCTTTGCTACTCCCTTTTAAAAGTTCTGCATTCACAGTTGGTATTAAAACATAATTTGATATTTTGCCACCATCATTATCCATCTTCTCTGGAATTATCTCATCTCTACCACAGCATTTTGTTGCTTTGGGTTTCATAACGTCAATGCAGATTTACATTTTTGTAAACATCTATAACACATCTTAAAGCCTGGGACCCATAGACTTCCATATACCATATACTTATGGTATATGATAAAATACATTAATTTTACTATTTTATAAGCTCTGTCTTTTTAGCTAGCCTGTCTTTGAGATAAACAAGTGGTTTTTACATTTCTGTATTCCCAATGACTGCTCCAGCCAGAGCAAGTACTTAATGGGTGTTTGTAACAATAAGTCTTTACTCCAAAGCCACCAGAACCCTGCCTGGATCACCACTTCTTTACTACATTTCCCAGAATCCTCCTTGACTCCTAGTCCTGCCTAACTTGCTGCCTCATTGGCCAAACAATACTTTATTTATCATTCAATAAGACAAACACATATACAGAAGCACTTCCCCCCATCAGGTGTTTGTGTCTTTTAATGTTGAATTGTAATTGCTTATTTGAGATTTTTCCACAAGGTGGGTTTTCTGCCCTGTGTTGTTTCAAATTCAGATTGTGCGATCTATTTATAGCATATATTTGGTATTTACTGTCTCCAGTAGCTACTGACCTCAAAGCAAAAAAAGGGAAACCTTTGATTGAATGAAAAATCGAGACACCTATCAAATCAGAAGCTACTTCCCGTAGAATCATGAGCTGAGGGGTAGGAGCTAAACTGTGTAGAAAGAAAAGTGCTGCCCAGCTTCAAACCCTCATCAACTTGCAGAATCTGGAATTGTGCTTCTTTCTCTCATGTGTAAAACAAAGCATGTGTTGGAGAGGTGGTGTCTTATACTTCTATTGCTGCAAAGAGACACCATGAGTAAGGCAACTTATAAAAGAAAGCATTTAACTGGGGGCTTGCTTACAGTTTTAGAGGGTTAGTTCATGACATTCATGGCAGGGAACTTGGCAGCAGACAAGTAGCTGAGAGCTCACATCTGACCTACAAGTTACAGGCTGCAGGTAGGGAGCAGGTAGAGATGATAGATGATAGATAGACAGACAGACAGACAGACAGACAGACAGACAGATAGATAGCCTCTGGGATTTTGAAATCTCAAAGCCCACCCTACTGACACACCCACTCCATCAAGGCCACACCTCTTAATCCTTCCCAAACATTTTAATAAATGGGGACCATGCATTCAAACATTTGCGTCTCTGTGGGTCCCATTTTCATTCAATTGGCAAAGCTGTTGAAAGGCTTGCTGTTCTTTCATAGGACAAGGATTTGGTCCCTAAGTACCCACAACAGATGGCCCAGACCACTCTGTAACTGCTGTTCCAGTGCTTCCTACACAGTGTTCTGTCTTCCACATGTAATATAACACAGGGATGCAGACACACACACACACACACACACACACACACACACACGAACTTGAAAATTTAAATGCAGGGCTACAACAGCGGCACAGAGTTGTTGGAAAAGCAAAATGAAGTAACAGATAAAAGATGCCAAAAAAGAAACAAAATGCTAATATATGTCAAATATTAGTATAAAGGACTTAGATATAAGATAG